GCCTCATGATTTCCATTTATAACAGCATGAACAGGGAACATCTATTTAGGTATGTTTTGATCCTGATATTACAAAGCTTAAACTGAGTCCGTTCCTCCTGCCTGCCTCCACTGGGCACATGGTTCTGGATGGAACACTTCCTTAGGTGTAGACAAGTAAAAATTCTAGGATTTCAAAATGCCTCCGTGGTATTTGTCAAGGCAGTACCAGCTCTGTGTCTTACCCAACACATGAGTCTGAAGATAAAAACAAATTAAAAGAAAGAAAGAAAAATGAATTTTAGTTCTATTCAGAAGCAATTCAAATACATTTTAAAGACTTAAATTTATGGCTTTTCCCTCTCTTACAGATTTCAGGGCCAACTTTCATGTTCCATTTTTGACATCACAGATAGAATATTGAGATATGTTTCGCACTGGATATGAGGGGTTATGAGGAAAGAATTTCTACGAAAGCAAGTTGAAATCAGCTTTCTTCTCACTGTGGTATGAAGAGGAAGAAGGGCTGGGAAAGGACTCCACAGAGAAGAGAGATCCTGTTTCTCTGCACACTGTCTCTCCCAGGACGGCACTGATTTCAAACTGAACCAACACTCCTGTTCTAGACCAGCCTGGATTTAGAAAATCTGGGCTCTTTAGTAACGAGAGAAATTGCCACTAACCAGCTTTTTTGTCTATCTTTTTTTCTTTCCCATGAGCTTGTGGATCAAAGCTGTGTGTTTAAAAAAAAAAAGAGTCTATCCGGAAACGGCACAAATACAAAGGTGGGTGAATTCACTAATCAGGGTGAAAACTTGAAAAAGGGACTCTCAATTAACAACAATACCTCCAATCCCTTCTCTCAGTCATGAAGCCTTGAGGAGGAATGCTTAAGCCACACTGTCTTAATGCACTGAGACCAAACTAAAAAGACTAAAAATAGCCTTGCCAATCTACGCCCACTCCCACCCCCTTTTTTTTTTATTAGGACCATGAAGTGCAACATAAGTGTCTGAAGAGCAAAATTGTGCAGTATAATTGATTAAAGCAGAAAAGTCTCATAATCCTGTATTAAGGCCAAAGGAAATCAAAACACACTCGGGTTGTAGCATGTACTCATAAAAAAGCTCTCAATTGGATTTCATAAGAAATATTGATCCTGAGCTCCGAATCCTCTCACTTTGGCTACCACGTGATTGGGGTCAGCGCCGTCTACGCTGCGATGCCTTGACTCATGTAGACAGAACACAATGTGTAGGAATAACTTTATTTAAACAAATTATACCTGAGGCTGCTTATAAGGTAACCAAGAACACTGTTATTTAAGGGGTCAAGATGTTTAAAAGAATAGAAAAATACTCAATTTCACCAATGGCTGTCTTAAAAATTATAATAGGTATAACTAGGTAAAGTTTTTAAATAGACTTGATTAAATTAAAATTGCCTCCCTACCATGGTTAAACATCAATCATACATTTTACATTTATGTCTTCTCTAAATACACTATTTAATATCTGTGATCTTATTCATTGACATTAACCATATGCCTTCCAAATATAACACAAAGAATAACCCATTAAAAGAGACTCTTTTTCTTTAGTATTTGAATTTAGCCGATGACTCTGGTCTATTACCTGTTAAACAGTGCTTTCATTTAGTAAAATAATGCCAGGTCTCTAAAACCATTCAGATTGGTATTGGCAACATTCTGCATATGTATTTCAAACCTGAAAACACAATTCAATATGCTGTAAAGGGAAAAGGCTGATTGTCCACCAGTCGAAGTCTCTGTTCCTTTACTCTCTGTCATACCTCCCTTTGGCTTGAAAAACTCATAAACTAACCTACACTTTCAGATACTAAAATGCTTCAAAGATTTCTTTGGTGAAATAATCTCCCAGTGGCAGTATGTTTGAGACATTTGTTTTTAAAGAATCTGAAGTGAAGGCAAGTGCTGGGCAACTGGGAACCCAAGAATCCCAGTAACACTGAAGGAACTTTTTGTCCAGCTCGTGGCCTAAAGAGTGGAGAATGGGAAGACAAGAGTCGACTTCCAATCGCTTTCTCCTCCTGCCTTTCAAGTTCAATCTTTCTTTGTCTTTAATCCTACAGAAAATTACAAACAGTCCTCTAAACTGGCCTTGCCCATAGCAAAATTAGCTTTTGCTTCCAAAAATCCTATTATCCATTAGCAAGTGTGTTTATACTCTGTGAACCAGCCTCTTCCACTCCAAAGAGCTATGCTGCCTTTACACACAGAAACCTTCTGATTGATCTAAGATGAACACAAAGACATTGATTCTATAATAAGCCTTGAGACGTTCAATTGAAGAACCAAGATCCTGGCCACTAAAAAATTTGCAGGTTAGTCTCAATTAAACAGAGCATCATCCTTAACCATGTTCATATGCAACAACAGGATCCGCGAATTCCATTAACAGAAAAACAAAAAGAAAGGAATGAAAAAATCTACTAAAGTATGGAGGTAGGAGCTGGGAAAAGGGAATCTCTTTCCCAGGAACTTTAGTGACACAATCAAAACAAGTGAAAAACATGAATGCCAGTGATGCATGCCATTCTCAGCATACGGTAGCAGTGCTGATAATCCCTCAAATGAAATCTTATTTCCTTTTGTTAATCATATTGCAATCTTGGATGGAAAAAATAATAAACTATTCTCTTCCTTTAAATTACCATTAACTTACCTATTTAAACGCACCCTTTATAGAAACTACATAATCTACCTTACATTAAAATTTTCCTTGTTGGTATATGCAAACCAGGTCCATTTCTGCTGGATTTTGCATACTTGCAGCATATACCTTAATTCAACATTCCACTTCTTGTAAATAGTTTTAAAAAAAAGAAAGAGGTGGAACTCTGATACAGACAAAACAAATACTGCTTATATGTCTACGTGAACATTAACACCATTTACAGATTTTCCCCTCTTTTCCTTGGGGCTGAGAGCCCTGTCAATAATCATTTCTTATTAAACAGGCTGCCATTCTCTTCTACAGAGTCTAGGAAGAGAGCATGGAGGGGTAGAAATAATTTACCTTGGGCTTTTCTTTAAAGACCTCCAGAATGGAACAACGCGAGGAAATCAATTGAGAAAGAACATGAAATACCCACACCATGTGCCGTCAACCCTTTTCACGCTCACTCACACACACACACATACACACACACACACACACACACAAACAAGGATTGGAAGTATACCCACACTCCATCATTCATATCAGCGACATCGAAACAGGAGATCAAAAATCTGAGGTCTTTAGGATAGATACATTTTCAATCCACCGAATATGCTCACACATTCACTTGTGAAGCCCTTTTATTTCCACCACAAAACTCAAGCTAGATGTGTTGAGAGTCTCCTGAGAAAAAGTGATCTCAAAAATGACTGCTTCAGTCAAAGGAGACAAAAGCAGCAAGTTACTGGATCTACTGCCATTCTGGTTTATGGCAGATTCCTTCCTTCCTCTGTCCTTCCTCTTTCCCAATTTATCTTCTAACCTATTTCTTCCAAAGCAGAGTAGAGGCTTTTTCCTTCCCCTCTCCTGAACTTACTTACAAATACACTAAATCCTTTTCTCGAAAGTTTCAAGGGTTAAATAACACCCAGGGTAAAATCGCAGGTCAGGGAAATGAAAAATTACCAGACAACTGAAAGCAAACCGGGTATTGCTACCAGCGCTGAAGAGTTAATGATGAGCATTCTTCCTTTCCCCTAGATGGTATGGCTCAAAACATAAATACAATCTAAAGACAACGTAACCAGACAGTTTTTGCAAAACAGCCTTGCAAAGAACTTGAACTGGCAGGCTGGGGTTTGTCCTAAATAACCTTCACAGGTTGCACAAACTGTTCCCATGTCCTGATCAGAACAGATTAAGAAGGTTCCTGAGATTTCCTTAGAATAAGAACAAGGTAGGGGGTGGGAGGTCAATTAGTCACCTAAAACATCTATAAAAATGTAGAGAAAATATACACCTCCTACACAAATAAATGGAAAGCTATCGTGCTTTGGGTAAACTGGCCAATACTGGCACCAATTGAGCCCAGGTGGAAGATGCTACATTCAAAGGATGACCTGTTTCAAAAGGGTTGGATGTTCTCACCCTTGAGTGCAGAAAACTCTGTCCCAACCCGCCTATATTTTTCAGGCACAGGGGGAGAGGAGATAAGGTTCACACCCCACCTCTGGGAAAGGAACAAAAGCAAAGGCTTGGCAGAGCTGAAAAAACTCCTCCGTCAGGACCCTAGAGGGGGCAGCTCTGCAGGGCTCCCTTCATATTTCCTCCTAGTTAACTCACTCTCGGCGGACACAGAATCAATTTCTACACCTTGGAATGGCCACGGGCAGGCTGGGGGAAGATCAGTTCAGTCCTTCTCTGTGGATCGCCTCCTTTCGCTACCTCTCAGAATGGCTTCTAATTAACCCTTCCTGCTCCCCACCGGGGTCAGGGCGCTAGAATCGTCTTCAGCTACATTCTACCAGTATCTCCATCAAATAGCTACCCCACACAGGGACATAACTTCCCTTTGTGGTTTATAGTCGGTCAATGTGCATGTGCTTTTCTTTCTTTCCTTCCCCCAGGCGGGCGGGGAAAGGACTCGGCGCATTCGGGAAGGCCCTCCCTCCCTGCCAGCCCTCTACAGGAACGCTCGAGCTCGCCAGCAGGTCTGCAGTGAGGAGGGATCGCACTCGCGTTAACCCTTCGAAGGGGTTAGGAGATCTGTTCTCATTTGGGACCCACTGAAGTAGGGCCCCGTGGAGCTCGACAGTCTCCCTCCCCTTCCTACCACCCCCACTTTCCCCCCGACACGACCCAGAACAGGCTGGCACCTTCCCCCCGTCCCCCGTGACCGGCTAACTAGCTCTCACTCCGTGCCCCAACCTGGGATGGGGGAGGGGGGGCTTGCTAGAAGGCAGGCGGCGAGGGGCAAAGACAGCAGGAGGACAGAAAGGAAACGCAATAGTAAATCATAGTTGAGATAGTGTTTACTTACGAAATTTGGGGCTGGTGGTAGTTTCTGGTGTGGTGGTGGTAGTACTGGAGGAAGACGAGGAAGAGGAGGAGGAGGCAGCATCCTGAAAGGGAGACAGGGTCCAGGAAGGTGTAGAATCATGAAGGTAGGAGGAGGTAGCATATGCCGCAGTGGGCCAGGAGGGCATTGCCTGGGTGCTGAGGGTTCCTGGCACCGGGGGTCGGGAGCCCGGCGTGCTGCTACTGATGAAAGGGGCCGTGGTGGACAGGACCGTCGGGGGGGACGCAGTGTTCCGTGCTGTGGTGGAGCGCGGGCTGGCCCGGATGGGCACCCGGTGCCCGGGGAAGCGAGTGGGCGCCCGCGTGATGGTGGTCAGACGGGTGCTAATCCGGTTGGGCGTCCTGGAGGAGGCGGCGCCGCTGGCGGAGGGGGTGGCGGGGGATGTGGTGGAAGTGGTCGTGGTCGTGGTCTCCATGGCCTTGGGGAAAGAGCTGGGCTTGGAGAGGAAGAAGGGGTCCTGGCCCATCCCCTTGGAGTCCACCAGGTCGGTGGGCACGTACTCCTTGACGGAGCCCACCACGATCCATTTGAGGAGCATGAGGCTGAGCCCCAGGCCGATGAAGCCGATAAACAGAGGTACCACGCACAGCCACGTCTGCTGCCGGTTCCACACGATGCAGTCGCTACAGCGTAACTCCCGGGGGGGCTCGGCCGCCCCTTCGCCGCCGCCGTCCGGGCCCCCGCCCGCCGCTGCCGCCGCCGCAGCCGCCGCGGTGCCCTCCTCGGCCGAGGCGGCGGCTGCCGAAGCGGCACCAGGTGGCGAGGCAGCGGCCGCCCCTTCACTCATCCTAGGAGCCGGTCTTCACCTTCGCCCCCCCGAGGGCCGCGCCAGAGGCATGGGGCCGCGCGGGCCGGGCGCGGGCGCGGGCTCCGGCGGCGGCGGCGGCGGCGGGCTCGGGCGCAGGCAGCGGCCGCGGCGGCCGCATGCAAATCGGCTCCCTGCCCCCACGCCCCTCCCCCCGCCCCCGAGAGGCGGGCGGCGGGCGGGGAGGAGAGCGCGGGGGAGGGGACGCGGGCCGGGGAGGGGGCGGCGAGGAGCGCGGAAGAGGGGCGCGACGGGCCCCCTGCGCCGCCGGTCGGTCAGGGAGCGGCGGGGTGCGTCTGCAGCCCGCCAAGCGGCCTTCTGCGCGCCGGGGCCCCGTGCCCGCTGTCGCTGCTGCTGCTGCTGCCGCCCGCCGCCTGCGTGCGCTCCAGCCGCGCCGGCATCCTCGGGGCGCCGCGCCCGGCCCGCTCCCTGGGGCGCCCACCCGCGCCGCCGCTGGGCCTCGCGCCGCCTTCAGGGGCCGAGCCGGCCGGCCGCGGGGTGCCGGGCGCCGCCGAGCCGCATTCCGACACAGAGGGCCGGCCTGGCCGCCGCTCGCCCGGCCGGCGCGCCCCGTTCCTCGGCGGCTGCTCCGCTAGCTGGGCGGTGAGTGCACCTGTTCTTCAGCCGGCCCGCAGCCAACCCTCGGCCAGCACTCTCCGGGAGAGACCAATCCGAGCGCGGCGCGGAGGGCTAGCGGCCCGGCCGGCTCGCCTCGCTCCCGCCGCCCTCTGCTCCGCACCGCCGCCGCCCGAGAGTCAAACTCCGGCGAGCGCCGCCGCCGCCGCCGCGAACCAGGAGCCGGGGGCGCACCGGGAGCCCGCGGCGGGTGCGGTCTGACCCGCAGCCGAGGGAGCCCGGCCAGCAGGTGGAGGATTCCAAGTCACGCCCCAGCGCCCTGCCGGACCGAGCGTGGGGAGCAGAAGCGGGAGACCGCGTCGGGGCTGCCGGGCGACGCGGAGCCCGGGCTGAAGGCGGCTCCGAGCGGGCTCCGGCGGTGCGCGCGTGTGTGCCGAGCCGCCGCGGCGGGCTGGGATTCGGGCAGAGTAGCGCCTCCCACCAACACCTAATGGTGGTTTCTTAATACGCGCAAGATAAATAAATGATCCGAGCAAACCCCCGTCTGGGGGGTGTGTGGCGAAAGAAGCTGCGGACCGACTGTGATCCTGTCTCCCGTGCGGAACCGGCGGGGTCAGAGACGGACGCTGTGGGGCGAGGGAGTGGGGGCGGATGCGGGAGGGAGGGTGCCGCTGGGTGGAGAGCCACCTCTGCCTCCGAGTTCCTGCTGGTGAAGCAGACGACCTTTGTGCAATCGGACCTGTCAGATATCTCCAAGCTTTTTATGATAACTTACCTTTAAAAAAAAAAATGTCTTCTGTAAATGTAGATGTTAGCATAGGCACACACGTCCTGAGGCAATGCTTGTGAGAAGTGAAATGTAAAACGATGTGGGTGGGTATCCCGAATTCCGTTGCCGGTTTCCTCCCTTGGTTAGGGAGGCACCTGTATACCTATACCTCAGGTGCAGTGTGGTACCTGCCTGGGGACCGAGGAGGCATCGAGAAGAAATAAGGGGTAAAGAGCCAGTGTTAGTATGGTAGATGCTGATGGTGCAAAACCTTGCTTGCCAACTCTCCGCATATTTCCTAGTCTAAAGTGAAAAGCAAAGAGGCGATGTTTTTATTTACAAGCTCCAAGAATGAGAGGTTGAGAATGGCAGCTTCCTAATACACCTCCCCAGCACTGTCTGACTGGCGTAGATGATGGAGCCGACATTCTCTTGTCCTGTAATAGTCTCCACAAAGATGAAGTTTTCAAGGTATCCATTTTATTCACAGGTGAAGAACCGAGCTGTACAATGAAGAGACTGCAGAGAGCAGAGGATTCATTTCAACAGGAAGCCCCTGGGGTTTGGTGCCTACCAGGGTACTTTGCACAGACACGGTTAATAAATTATTTTTGATGGCAGTAATGCGGCTGTCATCTCTTTCAGCTATAACATTGAGACTTTCCCCAGAGGAAAGCTTTTGATTTTTAGTTTGATGGAACATGCCCTAATCCAGTAGTGCTGAATTATGGCTTCAAAAACTGCAAGTGAAAAAAATACCAGAAACCCTTGAATCCATATTCCTTCAGCTTTCCAATGCAAATCACAGTTCTCGTAAGTACAAATTGACCCAATCTCTACCTTCGGTGGGTGCTAGGAATCTACTGCCTAACCTTTCTTGTATAGCAAAAAAGAAAGCTTTCCCATAGAACTCCTTGGAATTGTAGCAGGTGCTGCTTTCAGCTATTTGAGACAGAAAATTACTTTTCCAAAACACTCTGGTTCATTGCCCCCTCTCCCAGTGTTCCTGTGGTCTCTCCCATCTTCCCTGCCTGCTGGAGTAAATCCAGAGTACAAAAAGGGATGCTGTAACGCTGCAGCTGAGCAAATGCTCCCTTTCCTGAAGCCACAGTCCGACAGTGTTCACTTCATGTTCTCTCAGTGCTCCCTGATGCCTTCTTCATCTACCTCTCCAAATTCCCTCCACTTCTCATTTCTACTTGGCTTTAACAGCTTATTCATAGATCCCTATTGAGCTCATTTTCTCCCAGATCCCAAGCCACTGCACTCAGCTACCCACTGGCTGCTCTCACAATGCACATCATCACTAGAAGAGGAAAAAAAAATAGACCATTGCTTTGATAGCCTGGTATTGGGGAGCAGGATATACCAGCCCATCCAAGAAAGTTTGGCTAGTGGAATCATCATTAACTTGCGGTTTTATTGTGAGGCTCCCTGGTAGCAGGTGGTAGGCACTGGAACAGAAATTGGGGGCTGTCCTCAGTTGAGTCAAGGACACTTGGTGGACCCTCCCAGTGCTAATGAGCAGCCAGTTAGTCCCCTGGTGAGGAGGAGCTTCATTCTGATGACGCACAGCTCATTGAAGCAGGACGCTGGAGAAGACTTCATATTCAGACTCTTAAGACAGGGATTCAAGTTAGAGCTCTGCCCCTTACAAGCAATGAAATCACTCTTGGCCACCGTTTTCTTAAATGTGAAATGGAGCTATAATACCTACATTCTACATAAGTGTATAAAATTGTGTAGCTAAATAGACTATTCACCTATGGCATCTTTTAAGCCTTATCAGATATCTTCCTGTAGAGAGGGTTGTGGATTATTCTAACAAATGGGTATGGCATGCCTCAGCCTCTCCTGAGCTCCATATCTGCTTGACTGTAATAACTCTGGGTATCTCATGTGTGGTCCACTAACACATTGAACTTGGAATTTCTAATCATTGCCTAATGTTTGCCCACCAATCAGCATTTCTATTGAAATTCAGTTTTCCTTTCAACGGCACCAATATCCCCAGGCTGAGAGGCTCAGTGCCATCTCTGACTCCTTATTCCCTATTTCCCAAGTGTGATTAGTTGTGGAGTCACTTACTTTCTATCTCTGTAATATGATTGTCCAGGGTTCCTTCCATTGCAAATCCGTTAGTAAAGGCTCATTTTTAGAACCACAAGGCTGGAAATGACCTTAGTGGCCAAACACTTCCCATGTGTCATCTCATAAAATGTCCCAGCCCAACAGTCATCTGGAGCCGTAGAGAAGGGGACACTTCCTGCAGAAGACCAACCAGGCTGTCAACATAGATAATTAGAAAAGTCATTCTGAGACAAAAGTCTGCTTTCCCACACTTTCACCCCTTCTCTCTCAGCTCATTTGTTGTAGAAACCTTTCGTGAATTACTTGTTAGGCATAGAGGACACAACAGAGAACAAACCAAAGGTCCCTACCTTCATAGAGCTTATATTTTTGTGGGGGACATTGATAATAAACAAAAGAGATAAATTTTATAATTTATCAGAACATGCCTCCCACAGCACTCAGCCCATCACAAGTGACAGTTTTCAACTGCAAAACAACCTGCTAAACGTCAGGTGCAAGTCTGTCTGACTCCAGAATCTCCACTTGCTCTTTCTTACTGATGATTGACCTATATCAAGAATAAATTTCTGGTCCTGGTACACGATATAAGAGATAGATTGTGGAGCACCTGAAAACCTTCACAGACTACCAGTAATCCTCAAAAGAGATTGGGAAATGGGAGAGGAAACTATAAATTCATACTTACATTTTAATATTCTACTAGATAAGGCAAGAAGTTAGGGTCATGTTGGGCATGTCAGCTACTGTGACCTAAGGTCCCAGGTGTTGACAATAAACCTGTTTTGGGGTTTCTCTGAACAGCTTAGCAGGGAGTCCCCATGGTGTAGGCATAAAGTAAACCAGTGACAAATTGTGGAAAATTATCTGTTTGTTTTCTCCCATGGAGTGTTATGAAGGTTTCATCCCAAATCTAAGGAAGAAAAATATAGATTTCCAGAAAACAGGTGAGATGAAGCCAAAGTGTTATTTATACAAACATGAAATCACATCAACTCATTCTGAATGCAGCTGTAATAAGCTGCCTTTCTTAGAAATAATGAAGCTTTAGACAAAGACATTTTTCCTCACATATGAGATAGTATTTCAGAGAGTTGGCATTGCATCCCTTCTATACCTGCAGCTTCACTTACACCGATGTGATCTAGGAGTAATGAGAAGCCTGTAAATTGTCAAATGGAGTCCTGTTTATGTTCTGGAGGAAGGGAAGGAGAACATGCACCCACCTTTGTTTCTCACCATGCTCAAAAGACATTTCCTTGGATCTTTCCAAAGCACCAGGTTCTCTGAGGGTGCTTGCTCAGTGAACTGTCGAGGTAAATATCCATCTACCAGTCCTCCAATTTTAGATTCAGTAAGATGATTTCAAAAGAATGAATTGTACAGTGAAGCGATCTAAGAAAAATATATCTACCAATGTTGGGGAAAGGCAGACATGGATGGAAAGGCAAAAAAATATTGACAAGGTGATAAAAAATTAGATACACAAAGGGCAGTGGCAACTTTGAATGTCAAGAATAAAGTACCTGCGTTGGTACCCTATAGTACTCTAAAGTATAGGAAGTTTGAATTCAGTGCAAAAAGAATCATATACACATCTAGCTAACACATCCTTCATCACTAAGTTTCCAGCTCATTTTCTATTTCTGCTTCTCTATACTCATCCTACATTCCAACTGGACTCTTACAACAGTTAA